TTCCTTCCTGGTTTGGGCATCTGTCTTCTGTTCTCATTGAGTCCAAACACAGAAGTGGTGAAATTTAGCTTTCCTATTATTCATAACTAAAGACTTCTGCCATTATGGACACTCACAGAAGACCAGTCATTGTCAAAGGAACTTGAACCACGATGACCTTTGTTTGAAACTGTTCAATAATATGCAACCCATAAGCAATCCTCTCAGCTTTTAAAGCGACCCCTCTGGAAGCTGAAAACATTCTTTTCTAACTTTCTGCAGCTGCTGACTGTGCTGCAGTTTTAACATTGTCTCACAGGACCAGGTGAAGACTTGGTTTCAGTCGTTGTAATTTCACCCTTCCTCTACTATTTAAATATTTGTTTGAAATCTCTCTGATGAAATACAAGCATCTATTTTGCTGCCTTTTGGAAGATGCTGTTGAGTAAAGTTGCTGTGTCATTTAACTACCACAAGGTGGGGCTTCAGCCTTCCACTGCATAAAGAGATGACGTCAATCTTTTTAATATTCAGTTTAGGCTCATGTTTATGACTATCAACCGGTGGACACCAACACATGAAGAGAACCGCTGACACTTTAGCTGCTAAAAGCCACATTTTAGCTTCGGTTAATCGGTGTCACGTTGAAAAAGTATTCATATACCTTGATCTTTTATATTTGTAACCACATGTCTGAGTATATTGTTATAATGCCATATTCCAACACGAAGTAGCACATAATTGTAGTGAAAGAAAAAGAATGAATGTTTTTGAAAATTTCTTAGTGAAGAAACATTTGAATGTTTCTGCATTCATACAGTTTTTTTTTTTTACATTATTTGTCGAACCACTTTTCACTGAAATCAGAGATGCAGTCTCATTACTTTTGCAGTTTTTATGAGGTTTTCTTCTAGGACTACCCGGTACCCTGCATTTATATCCATCCATCTTGATAACTTTCCTTAGGAGTCTCAGAGTGAAGATGGCTTACATCAGAAAATGGTACGTTAAAAACATATATGATTTTCTAGGTGCAATCCCATAAAATCTAAATAAAACATGCTAACTTCTATGGTGGTAAAGTTTGAAAGAGTTCAAAGGGTGTGCATAATTTAACGAGGCACTGTCTGTATGTGTGCTGTTTGGTGCTGAGCAGATGGAGAAGTGTTTTCATGAAGACAAATGACCATGTGGGTGAGCTGAGAAGCTAAATCAAAGCAATTCATCAAGAGCAGCATATTCAAAATTCTTACAGTTATTTGCCCTCCAGTCTGTAAATGTTTTCACGATAAATGAACATACACACACCGCATCTTTAACCATCAACACCATTCTGTTCTGCAGCAGCATGCCCACCCAGTGGGTGGTCATTAAATCACGTTTCGTGATGACTGCTGTGTGCCTGTGTTTGTGTGTGCCTTGGTGAGATGCTGGTGGCATACAGTGGTGGTGCACAGATCCCATTCCCCAACTGTTTTGTTAAAACAGCGTTTAACAACAGAGTTGGTGTTCTCAGTTGCCATGGCAATAAGGGCTTTCCTGCTCTTCCCTTCCCATCAGTCTGTGTTCTTCCTCCCACCTCCGCTGTACAAAATAAAGATCAGCTAAACGCTCAAAGAACGTCTCTCAGCAAATGGCAGCCGAGTCAGATTCTCAGCATTACATCACCCTTTGTTTGGTCTGCTCTGCCAAACCACTCATGTGAACATAAACACTCAGTTGTTGTTTCACTGTGGTTTAAATGCGCTGGATGACTGCGCAAACATTTCTACTATGGTGCGAAGCAGTGCAATTCTAAAAGTGTACATTATGTATAGAAAATACAAAAAGACTTTTCAACATACCTTTCTCCAGACACTGAAAGTGGAGGTTTCAATATAACCAAAGCATGTTTAACTACACATGTGCAGAATCTCACCCAGAGACATTTGAGACACCTACAAGCATACCAGAGGATTCACAGTGCAACACAACCTGTGAAACGTGAGGGGTGAGGTTTGGTTTCAGTCAGCATTGCTGCACAGGAAGGGGAAAAAAAGCAGACAGCTTAGCTGTGGTGGAGAGATAAATGACACAAACACATTGTAGGGACAATAAGAAAGAGGTTTGACTGCTTTTGTAGAGGTAGAACATCCAAAGTGCATACACCATTGATACGGTTGCAATGCTTTATGCGGTCAAAAGCAAATAAAACACTGTGCAGAAGTGAGAAGCTTTGGGAATGAAACAGTTACAATAAACTATGCAGCCACTGCAATTAAACTCAATTAGTTGCTCAAAAAAGCTGTTTTGTGTTTTCTAATAATAACCCTATAAACAGCAGTAGCGCACATAAGGATTTGAAGCATGCACATGGAAGTAATTTCAGTAACATGCAATGCAAAGTGTAATGTCATGGAGGAAGTGAATGCTTTTAAATGTGAAGGTTTCTGTTCAGTGTCAGAGAATAGAAAACAACCCGAGGTGGCGACTGCTGCAAATTTCTGTCATGGTACAAATCAATCCACAAGATGGCGTAAAGATACAACACTGACAATTAAAAACATGTGCCTCTAACTTTTGTCCTCAGGCAGAAAGGTTTATTTTTCACTATGTGCATCAAGGACTGAAAATGTCATGACTCTACACTTCCAGCCCTGAATAAAAATATAAAAGATGTATTTACAGGTTTTGTAAATTCAATAGCCAACATAAGAACTACACAACTCTATTCATGTGGTAATTTATCAGTTCTTTTAATTAAAGGGATACACAGTGGAAAGCCAACAAACTTTCTTTTTTAAGGGAAAATTGATTACCAAAATTATTTATTTTTTACTATTGAATGTTCCTTAAGTTCAGGAGAAATAATAATAATAATAATAATAATAATAATAATAATAATAATAATTATTATTATTATTATTATTATTATTATATTATTATTATTATTATTATATATTATTATTATTATTATTATTATTATTATATAGTATTCTCACACTATGTGACTGAGGTCAGGCCTTTTCATGATAGCTTACTGGACCGGTCTGCCTTGGCAATGGTCCTGGTGTGAAGAGATGAAAATGTGAACACAGGGAACACAAAACAATTGCCTCATTACAGGTTAGACTCTGACTTGAATCAGTGTCTTGCATTGTAAGAACATTTATGAACATTCTCTGAGCCTTCTCCCATTGAATGTCCGTGATTGTGATTCCTTAATTCCTTTTTCCAGATTTAGATTTGCTAAAAGACAAGTTCATGGGATTTAATGACATCAAACTCAACAAGGTGAAAGGTCATTGTCCAGCTTCAGAACCAAGCTTCTTGGCAGACATATTTGTTTTGCCCCAGATGATTTTGTTAGGCAGAGGACTTGAGGGTTTTCATAATTACTGCAAGGTGCTGTGGTTTTGTTGCAGCAAATTCAACCCAACTCAGCAACTTTTCTCCACCATGCTGTAGGTGGTGAGTTATTTCCTTAGAAACAGGCCACTATATATTACGACTAACAAATCCACTTTGGTCTCATCTGTTCCAAAGACAGTGTTTCAGAAGGCTTGTGCTTGATTCAGACATAACTTTAATAATCAGAGTTATGTTGCCATATTCGATCTTTAAAAAAAAAGCCATTCAAGCATTTTGTTACATTGTAACAACATGTAAAACTCTTACACCCTACAGTAATTGTATCTAAAGTCATTCCTCAAGGACCTGTGTCTTGTATGCTTTAGCAGAGTTATAAAGCTTAAGAGGCCATTCAGATTTTAGTATCTGAATTGCCTTGTGTTGGAAAAAGGACACATCTAAAATCTTCTGCTCATTGGTCCTTGAGGAATGAGGTTGGATGCCCTCTCACTTCAGATTCTACCCCTTCCCAGACTGATGGGGTGCAACATTTGGTTCCTCCTTGGGATTTTGTTTTACACTATTCTGTGCTAAATATCGTTGCAACAGAATTTCCCCCCAGTCTCCTTTTATTTCTAAACCCAGCTGTAAAAAATGGCTGAATCATTAGTTTCAATTTCCCCTTCCGTACTGAGACGACCCCCAATGTGGTGATTGTGAAACCAAACATCCCACCAACAAAATCTCTCTCAGGCTACTGAATGTGTTTTATCTTCAAAGCCCCCCACTTCCTGTGTGATGTTGTAAGTATGATGTGTGTGAATTACAGTATATGTCTTTTTTTTTTTTATCAATCTCAGAAGCTTGCAGCTTTTTGCTCCTACTATGAGCATGATTAATTTTATAAGTGGTTGTGTGCGTCGGAAGCTTTTCTTCCCCCATGACCACAAATATTTAAAAACAACATAATAAACGTAAACCAGGAAATGAAATTAGCAAAAACTTATGATATGAAGACATTGAGCATTATGTTTACAGTTTAGTGCAGTGCATGTGTGCGTTTATAATCAGAAATACTCCAGAATGTCACATTGAGTGGTTAAAACAAAAGTAACCTTTTGAGCCCTTAAACAAACCACTGGGTTTGAAAGTCATAGTTTCAACCAAGAAATACCCAAATTAAAACTTATCATTCTAAGAAATAAAGAAAAAATCTGTTTTTTTCTAAAAGAAGAAAATGCTTTACAATTCAGAAAAAAACTATAGTTTGAAAAATGTGATTTGTACAGGGCATCACCAAGACAGTCAGGACAAACAATCATGCACGCACACCTAAGGAGAATTTAGAGAGCTCAATCATCATCAAAGTCATGTTTTTGGTCCGTGGGAGAAAGCCAGAGTACCTGTAGAGAAACCCAGGACCTTATTGCTGCAAAGCAACAATACTAGCAACTGCATCACTCTATAGCCCCATTTAAAGGTCCCTTTTATGTGACAGTTTTAAGTGGCTCTCTTCTGAAACATGAAAGAAGTATTTGCTCCTCCTGAATTCACATCATGCGCGTGACATCCTGCTCCACACAGTCTACACCACATGTCCATGAAGCTCTTTGAAGTCTTCGAAACAGGAGGCGCTTCTGATGCCGAAGCTGACATACGTCGGTGTTTGTGCAAGTTCCTGCCCACTGCTTCCTCCCTGTCGAGGAGAAAATAAACTACTACTACTTGACAAGAAAAGCTAAGGTTGGATGATAACAACGACAGTCAAAGTATCCGGAGGACCAAAAATCGGAAGGGCCATAACGGCAGGCCTGCAAGCAGAACGCGTTTTTAATCATGGTTGAAAACAGCTTGGCAAAGCCTCTTGGGTTAGTTTTAATCCTCACAGCTCACATGGTTTTCTGTGGTAAGATATTTAATTCATAACTATTGATGTTTGACTTTTGGTTTAATAAGTTTTTAGGATTTTTCTCTAAAGATATACAACTTAACTCACGTATTTGATATTTTGCTCCAGTTTATGTATTTAACATTGTGTGCGAAGGAAGGATTTGTTGACATATTGGTAATTTTGCTCTCTGTTAATTCAACACAGTGATTTTTTTTTTAAGTGCAACACGTTTATTCCTCATTGTAGTTCTTGAGGGAAGTGTTCACAATTTGGTTGTGGCGTCTACTGCGGTTTTTCACCTCTGAAAATAGACTTAAAAGTGGGACATAGTGACTGTCACTTACTTGAAAAGCTATACTGGATCACTTTTTTGGAGAAAATAATTACATTACTATTTTCAGTCTTAAATATTTCCACACTCAGGCATTGTTAGCGAACCCAGCTGACAAGTCAAACACCTATACAAGCCACTCAAAAGAAGTCCTACAAAATATTTAATTATGCCTTGAATTGGCATTATAAAAATGACCTGAACTGATATGAATTAACTACTTTTCTTGATTTTTAAAGCTAAATAAATTTGTGGCTCATGCTTCAAAAGTAAAATGTTTTTCATCTATCTGTCATTCCCATTTCTGACAAAAACAAATGGCGAGCAATTAAAGCTAGCATACCATCAGTTTTTCTTTTGTTTGTTTTAAAAAGTTATATAGAAATGAATATAGAAAAATACGAAGGACGTCTTCAGCTTCTTCCTTCAGCTCTTGAAGTGTTTTAACCACCGTGTTACAGTCTTGGTGTAATTTTGAAATGCAAAACTTATTTTGTCTTTATAGATAATAGATATATGTTTCCAACTATGAGATTAATTTGATTGATTAGATCCCATCAGTGTCAACAAAATGTATAAATATTAATTATTCAAAGGAGAATGAAACACACTAACTATTCACAATAAAAAGGCCACCACTTTTAATCCATACCAAAGTATAAGTAATTATTCCAATATTTCTTACATTATTTTGGTGTATATGTAGTCATAATATTTCATAAATGTTGTAATTATTGTTTACAGACTCCAGCCATGCAGATGTCACTGGGATTGTCGGACAAAACATCTCACTTCACTTCAAATTTAACACTACCATCACATATAAGAGTAACTTTGTTGTCTATAAATGTTTAGGAAAGGAAGAAAAAATCTCTGAATATCCAAATTACAAAAATGAATTTGAGATTTATCCTGAAAATTCTTCCATACAGTATCACATGGCCAATCTGAACCTAAACCAAAGTGAAACTTACTGGGCCATTTCAGTCATAGATTTAAAAACAACACATAGTAATAAAGTGAAGCTGATTGTTCGAGAGGAGAACCCAACCACCGCAGGTAAGATCATACTTCTTACACTTACTCTAAAATATTCTACTGTACATAAGACATTATCTCTAACAACTATTTCATACAATAGTTGTATTGTTTTAAAGCTCGTCTTAAAACCCATCTATTTTACTGGGCTTTCAACTCCAGCGAGATCTAGTTTTACATTGTATGTTTGTTTTAAACTCTAAGAGTTTTTATTTGTTTTTATATCTATTTTATGTACAGCACTTTGTATCAGCTGTGGTTGTTTTAAAGTGCTTTATAAATAAAGTTGGTATGGTATGGTAAATGGATGCAGTTCAATGTTTAATGTCATTAGAATATCATTAGTCTGTAGGGTTAGTTGTTCATCTCTCTCTTTGCGCTCCATATTTAATTCCCCTGGGTTACTTCAACAATATGCTGATTCAAATTTCCGACCAATCGGTGCACAATTAATCTATGTATGACTGGGGCATAATGTTGGTAATTTTTAATAAGTCCTCAAATGTCATAAAATAATCCTACACGGCCATATTAAGTAAAATCCAACCTTTCCTCTGAGTAAATGCACTCACTGCCAAAACTATGGCTGGAAAAATATCTATATTGAAAAATAATAGTTTTATCTTGTAGTTTTTTAAGGGAATATTATGTAAAATCAACTATTTTGAGGTTTACATTGTAATATACAACATGATGATGTAATCACAATTCATTGAGATTAAAAATCACTTTTCCAAAAGAGACCTGGCCCAACATTTACAAATCAAAACTGCTTACATCAAAACCCAATTAAAAAACAATATTGATAATAAAGGACGAAAAAAGACGAAAATCAAACACAGTCATAAAAGTAAAATTAGGAGTAAAGTACAACCAAACTCAACAGCTTTCTGATTACCTGGGGAATAAATATGGTGTGACACAAAGGTCCATTTCCTTTAGCCACTCTTCAAAAAGCATTTTTGTCCAATAAGCATGTAAAGTTTGCCAGTCACCACTCAGACGTTTGAAATAAGAAAACAGTTTGAAGCCATACTAGAATTCAAACAAAGATTACAGGTTTTAAACAAAGTTAAAACCTTGTTTGTGGCAAACCTTTACAAAAAGGCAGAATTTATTCAAACCAGTTAATTTGGGTAAAGGGACCTTAACGCTAACAGGCTTAGGACTAATGAAACAGAACGTTTAGCAATATTAATCTGCAAGTCAAATGTTGTCACAAAGCAAAGTTTCAATTCAGATCCAGGGCGTCTTTTCTAGAATCATTACTTGGTGTTTTTTGTTAAAAATAGCCCGATAATGAAAAACTTCTCTTTCATAGTAGATGAGTAAATATTTTCGTATTCTTTTAACTCCCACAGTTCCTCCAGAGACAAGCACCTTTACCAAAACAACTAACAATGGAAGTTCCAGTTTCTCTTCCTCTCAGATTGTCACAGTTATTGTGGTTTCTCCATTTCTTCTGCTTGTTGCATTGCTTCCATTCTTGGTCATCTGTCTTCCAAAACCAAAAGGTGAGTTGAAAAAGCTTTCCTTTATTTGCTTAATTTTTAAATGTAATTTATTTTTCCTAATTTCTAAAAATATGAGCTATTTTGTTGTCCAGAATTGGAGATGGATGTTTTTAACAAAAATTTGTAGCAGCTGGATCCCAGTTTATAACACACAGTTTGACTGGGTATGATGACCGTTTCTTAGTCAGGGTGTTCCACGTCTTCTGTACAGATGTCTGCAGATTACTGGAATGTGTATATACATGACTTTTTTTCAACCAAACACTCTTACGAGACGGCAATGTTTATTTGGTGGAAAAAATTTGCAATTGTGTGGTTAGATGCTGAAAATGCAAACCAGATTGCAGTTTCACATCCTCTTAATGCATGCGATGATTCATATTTTCAAAGAGGAATTCTGCCTCGATGCATGCAAATTTAATGGTAGCTACTATCGCAGAGAGAGGGGTGGAAATAAAAAAAAAAAACAACAAACCATCAGGACCTTGAGTGTGCTTCATTTCAGAGGCAAACCCTTTTGGCCTACTTTGAATCAGTGCAGTTTTGAAGTCTCTTGACCTCAGAAACCACTGATGAAGATTGTTTCTCCTCCATGCTCACAAATGCTAGAGTTTTGCTGACTTTGCACTCCTGATCACTGCATACTGGTTCAACTTTTGCTCAGGGCCATAAATTTTGTTTTTGTGTTTTTTAAACTTTACTAAGAATGAAGTATCCTTCTGATCTCTCATTTATGTGCTGCACTTGTGCATAAAACCAAACAAAAACATAATTTATCTAATTTAAATAGTCAGGGCATTTAGTTTAGCCACTTTTGCTTTCATAAGTTCATATTAAAAATATTAAAAAAAAAATTTTATGTCTTTTGCAAACTGAAAAGTCTCCAGCCTCAGTCCATTTCATTTGAAGCTCTACCCAATTCAGGACTGGATTTGACAAGCTTGCAGTTCTCCCATAGGCACCTTCCACGTTTTTCTTCCACTCAACTCCCATTAACATATTTGGTTACAGCACTCTGTAATTATTATTAATTATTTTCCTTGTGGCGGGTTGTCTGCAGTCTTCCTTCTGGTAGTCAGTGATGATATGACTATTTCAAAACATCCAAACACTAACATTTTTTAAATTTGTTGTGCAATTTTTATATTTTCTGAGACAGTAAGTTTTGGGTTATTATCAGCAATTCAATCACAAAGATACAATCATGTTAAGCAAACCAACTAGTTTTTGCTAATCATAGCATCATATGATTTTACAGTACACTGTAAACACTGCACTTGCTTTTATAATCAAATCCTTCTGAAAATGGGTTACTCATAAAGACTATCTTCATTCTCAAAAATAACTAAGCTTACCTAAAGTAATCTGTTTTGTTCACAATTAATTAGCACCAACTGGAAGGATAAGAATGTTTACACAACAGACAAATGGATCATAGCTTATTCTCTCCAAAAACTTATAACTTCAATGCCAAATTTAACCTTATTATTGGAATGAAACACACAAAATAAAGGGTGTATTATAACCCTTAGAAAACCTAGCCGTGCTATAATGAGATTCCTGCACTTCCATAACAAAATCAGTTTGTCATCAGTCTATGGGTTTTGTTCTACCAGCTGTTACCAGAAATTAAATGACAAAAATGTGTTCAATTATCCTATTGAACCCATTCAGGGAATCTAAGCTAAACTTTTTACGTAGAAAATCAAGAAAAAATGTTGTTCTTATAACATGAAACTTTTTAGATTATGACATTTCCTTGTTGTGTCCATAATGCAGACCAACCACAAGAAAGACCACAGAGATTCTCAACTGCTACAACACAGGTACACATAGTTTTTAAACCATTCAGAGCGCACGGGTCAAAGTACGTTTCGTATTTTACCCGAAATTGCTAATTATGTATCTGACTGTGTTTGCAGGACACAGTTGAAGTGACAATTAGTACGACTGACCACTCATTGGTCTACAGCGTCCTGGACTTCCCAAAGAGACCCCCATCATCTGTGGAGCTGGGCTCCAATGAGACAGAGTACGCCACAGTCAGCTACCTCCCAGAAAAGAAGCTGAGGCCCAACACCAATAAATGAAAGAGTGTAAATCTTCAGATTCTTTTCAGTTTCAGTAAAAGCCTTTATACCCCAGAATCTAATAATATATTTTTTGTATGTATGATAAATTGTTCTTTGACTGTCTTCACACATTTTACAATGTTTGTCAGGGGAACCAGTTTTTGTATGAAAGACGTCACTGTCTGTGTGTTGATCAGCTGACATAAAGGGCAGGAGTTACTGTAACAAACCACAAATATCAAACTCACTATTTCCTCGAACCAAATCGTTTTGTTTCTTGTGAAACTGACAAAATTTGATCTTTACTTTATTGTTATGAGAAACTAGCTCAACTGGAAATATGCTTGAAATAATGTTAATGCATCAAAATGGTGTTCCTTATATAACTTATGAAATATTGCCCACTCTATGTGGAAACAGACACATCTGTTGGAATCCAGAGCACAGAGTAAAAGAAAAACAACACACTGATAAAATCAGCTGTTATTGCAGAAACATAACCTTAAAAAGATTGGAAACCTTGAAATGATGAATATTGAGAAAAATCCATTTAGTTTTTTTGTTCAATAGGAGTTTGGGATCCCAATTTAAGAAATTAATAGCACAATTGTTGACACCCCAACACTTTATACAGCAACCCCCTTTTACCAACAGGAGAGCATTTAGTATTGTCTTATAAAATTTCACAAAGTAAAAACATGGGGAGATACGGACGTTTGGACAGTTTGTCTCTAAATAATACAAATTCTTGAGTAGTATCTTTAGTTCACCAGACAGGCTTTCAATCAAATTTAAGACCAAAAATGCCCTGGAAGAAGGTTGATTTTATGCCTGTTTAACGATTTCTGTCTTTATTCAGTCATATGTTTTTGAAAATGTTTCTAGTAAAAGAACTGCTTCAGCATTCTGGCAGAGTCCACGAGATATTTATTGTTATCTTCTTGTACAGGAGTCCGGTGTGTTGGTGCAGGGATGCATTCAAACATTGAAAGGCGGCAGCACTAGAGAACTGGAGTTCATGACCTGTATTGTCTCTGGATTTGGCAATTATTACTGAGTGTTCATAACGTCTTGCACTCTTGCTACATGTTCCAAACTTCTGGAGAAAAAAACAAGCATCCCACATCATCCATCATGCTTCTCCTTGTATTCATTGGCAGTAAGCACTCAGCTTGAAGTGGCTCAATCTTGGTATCATCTGACACAGTTCCAATTACAGTTCCTGTTGCGTTAGGCAAAAACATGTTTGTGTTTTCTAACGTCACTTGCAGATAAAGGATTAACACGTAGATAAAATCTTGTGGTTGTCTGGGCAATGTCTTTGCTACAGCTCTGAAACAGTTAGTTCTGAAATAAGAGCTTTATTTCTATGGCATATTCTCTTGCTGTTTGCATTTGTAAAAGACACCAAGAGCTGGGCTTCTTGGCTGTGCAATAAGCATACCCTGAAAAATAAGACGACACAGAGAAGAGATTTTATAAGAAAATTTATTTGAGTTTATTTACATTCATTTTCACACTGTTATTGTGATATATATAATATTTCCATAGCATGGGATCCTTACTAATAAATGTGTAAAATTAATGGTTAGATTTTATACATTTTCAGCATAGGGTCACATTTATGAGAAAAAGTGGGGAATTTATTTTCTGGTTTCTGGCACATCTTTATTTTAAATTATTATTTGAAATTCACAGGCAACACAGCATTGCGGATATCTGGCTCTCATAAAACATACTGAATCTCTCAATGTAAATACAAAACTTGAAATACTTTTGATTTTAAGACGTCATTAAGGATTTGTCAACATTCGATCTAAAAGTCAGTAATTAAATCCCTTTTTCATCAGTGGTATCTACAGCGTTTTTAAACCGTTTTACTCACCACCTCAAGGGCTCTTGGGTAAAATGAAACCATTTTAAGAACACAATCCAAGTGTACAGAACCTCAAATCAGCCTTGTCAGCTTTAAAAGTGTGAGTTTCCACAGCTCTTCTGTATCCACAGCAGTTTGTACGTATGCAGTCACAATCTGACACTATCTTACTGTCATTTTCCCCTAGGACGGTCTTGAAAGTTCTCTGATCCCTGGTGCTAATTTGCTTATCTCATTTTTGTGAATCGCTTTGTCATATAGTGACTGCTGTTGTGGACGTGTAATGATACTTATGCATTGGTAGAAAACAAGTAAATTGACCATGAATCCAGGATATTGGTTATTTTTTCAGAAGGGGAACTGCAAATAATGCATTTATTTTTTTCTACTTGTTCATGAGAAATTCTTTTTTCTCTTATGGCTACAATAAACTCAAATAGGACAGTGAGAATGTATTCCTAGTTTTGTACAGCTCGGGTTTTCAAACTGCCTTTAATAAAGCTGCTGTTTCCAATAATCTGAACCTAAGAGTCTAAATGTGTGTATTTTTAAAAAATAAAATATAGACCTTTTGCAGTTATGTTGTCATGCTTTCAACCTGATTTGCTTTTCTGTGAAAAGCCCTCATGCTGCTTCCTGTGAGGCTGCAAACATTGCTCTGGGTACAGATGCTTTTTCAGTTGTCAATCATCTGAAACTTTCAGTGTCAGTCAGACCTGTAAAAGTGTTTTTATTGATGTAATAGTAACATCATGAAGCTGTAAGTGAAAAACACCTAAATGTTTTTTTTTTATGTCAATGAGAAGAAAAAATATTTTCCAGTCTGCTTAGAAAAGTTTAAGGTATGTTTTTGCTGTGTTTTAGTCTCTGCTGTACTTTAGCATCTAACACTTGGTGGGGGAGGCAGAAGAAAGTGAACTTGGTAGGCTAAACTTCTGCTTTGAGCTCCATATTATGTATTGAACTTTTTAACGTTTAAGCAGTTTTAAAAATTGGTTTTTGAGAACATACATTCAGAAAACTGGATTGCTGTAAAGCAATAGCATTAATTTCTGAAGTGGACTCCTGACAGGCCCTGCACTCTCACTAACATCACTGGTGAAGATGTGTAAATTCACTTTGCAGACTTTTTTGCTACAGAAAAAGTAGGCTTTACTTTCTGATGGATAACTATGGTCTTGGATAGAATGACATTCAGATCGAGCACTTTAAAACAATCCAGTGGTGGATAAGATAAATGATTTTGAAGCACATGTCATAACCTCTCTCAAGTATGTTGTGTTCTGGAGCTGTTTTTCTTCCCTGGAATCTTGCATTTGCAAACTTTGTGAAATACCAGAATATTTTAAAAAAAATTATCTGGTAGCCTCTGCAAGAAAACTGAAAATGGATCATCACTGAATATTTTTAGCAAGATCTAAATGATCTAAAACATGTGGCCAAATAATTGCCACAATGGTTTTGCAAATGAGAATGAATAAAAATGTCAGTCTTTTGATGTCAAACGTTACTACAGATATATCCCCCAAAATCTGTCTTACATGAGTTGCAAAATACTTCAGGTATTTATTTGGTGAAATATTTTTCAAAAATATTTCATTTTTGTTTCACTTCATGTTGGTCTATATCGTAAAATCATTTTAAATTATACTGGGATTAGTAGCCACAAAGTGGAAAAGTTCAAGTGGTTTGAATTATTTTGCAAGGCATTGTACATGAAGCCACAAACAAAGCTGATTCAGTTTAGAGGAACACTCCAAGCAGTAACTTCAGTTTTAAAGAAACAAAGCTCAAATATTTTTTGTTTATTCAGCAGTTTAGACAGAAAGATTTTACAGATAGTCAGTTTGAGTGGCTGAACTGCTGCCCTTCCTTCACTTGGAAATAAAGACGCTTTGTTTTCTGTTTGTGTGCATGCTGGATGCTGCACTTTATGCACCGACACAGACAAATGATGTGCCTGCACTTTGAGCAAACAACACAACGCCCACCTCTGTTGTATATCAAGGTTTCTCATTAAAAAAAAAAGCCTGATCTTCCTTCACCATAACCAAACTGCTGCATTTTCTCAGCCGAGCAGCATTCAAATGATGAATATGTGACACTTCCTCAGTCAAGCTGTTTATGTTGCTGCTTGTTTAAGTCGTAACTAAGAGAATATGATGTTGAAGTTTTTATTTATATACAGGGCATATTTCTTTTTTGGGGATAAATCTTAAGACATTTTCCTTTTAGTTGGGGTTTTTGTTGGTTGCATGGAAAGATAATGTTTTCATCACACTAGAGAACCATCATTAAAACACATATAAAAACATTCCATCAATTGATTATAGTGCTTATGGTTTTGTGGCTGAGTATGTTTTTTTGCCAAAGTTTTCATTTTATGGTTGAATTTTTACATACATGACATCAGTGTCATGTATGCCAGCCACTTTTTAATGGTCACATTGCCATTAAAAAGTGGCTGGCCTTCAACAAGCTATCGTTTGCTTCAACAACAATACACAATCAATACACTACAAAATCAGAGGTTAATAAAGTCATGGCAGTATCATCTGGAATGTACCAAATTGTTTAAAGGCAAAGTAAGGTCATTGTATGTAAACTTTAAATATAAAGACTAATACAAACTGCTCTCTCTTGTGATGCAGTCAGAAGGTGAAGATCATTTAAACTGATCCCTAACAGGAAGTGATATGAATATAATCTCAGACAATGAAATCAAAAGGTCATGTATCTGTTTTGCATAAGACCATTAAATAAAACGATCATGCGTCTTTTTTGATAAAACATCTGGTTCTAACTGGCTTTGCAATATTGAGAATAAAAAGCAAGTTGAAGAAGGCACCTTCTATAAACCCTTATGTGACACCAGAATTGCGCAATTTCCATGCAGTAAATTTGCAGAGGGGACAGACATTTGTCAGGATTTTTCTCATCCTGCCACGGTTCATCTCGCTCTCCTGCTCTGCCTCTCCTAGTATTGTTGGCTGTACGATAACCAAGTGCTTCCATCTATACTATCAGTGGCTATAATGAATTGTCTTTCATCAACCAGTCTCACAGCTGTTGTGTAGTTTCATGTCCACCTCCCTGGTTGGGTATGTGACCTGCTTTCTGCCACTTGACCGCTCTTTGAGTTTCTCTTCCTCTGGCTCGAAACCTAGCTTTATACCTGAGGTCTGACTACTGTCTCACGCATTGTGGATCTGTCCCACTCACTCTGCTTGCTTTGTTATGGAACTGAATCATTTACCTAATCACTAAGCATTGACTTACAGTCAAAGCTTGTATTCCCTTTACCTATGGTGAGACTTTACATTACATTAGTGTGTATAAACGCACTCTGCCAGATCCTGAAGATTTTGCACTCCATCACATAAATAAGGAATGATTATGTAGAGGTTTTCCCTCTACATGCTCCTGTGGGTGAAAAAGTCCCCAGTAAACAGATACCACATCAAGGTCCGAATCTCTGAAGAAGTTGTCCAGGGAAACCATCCGTGTTAGGTAAGCCAGCATTTATTGTTTATGCAATTCTTCTCATTCATTCTCATCAATCAATTTTTTTTTACAAAGTCTGTTCAGAAAGCTGACCTAAGGATGGTGTTTGCACATTCTCATTGCTAGAAATAAAATCCATTCAACCTTTCCTGAACTATCATTTCATTATGGGTCCAAGTCATATAGAAATACCTGCATAACACATTTTAGTTTGTCATTTTAAATCTTAAAGATATCGTGATTGATATTTTTAAGATTTCAATCTTAAAGCAGTTACTCAATCATATTATTCATGCCATCAGGTCCTGGTGGCAAGGAGAACATTTTGGACTCTTCATAAGGGAAATATTTTTAAAGCAGTTTATATCCAGTTCACCACTAGGACATATGCTAAGGTTTTGAGAAATTGAAGACAGCCATCATTGGTTTTCAAAATGTTTCTGGTGCAGCTGGACACATAAAATGATATGAATACAAGAAATTAGATGTGAACATAGATCTGCATATGTTAGAACCTTAACAGGCAATGAGTTTCCATTAGTATTAAACATCATCAACATGATTTTCTTTAGTGGACTGTTGAAATCAAATCATTTATTTGTGTTTGGACCATGTGCATCTGGACTAAATACTTACTGTTTCAATTCCCTGTTGGTCCTGAAAGTGCAAAAAGTTATGAGTCTAAAAATGCAGAGGTTTCAGAACTCAATTGGGGAAATCACTCATTTGCTCCACATAACTCAAAATATTTGATACACCTATATGTTTCCTCCATAGAGCGTGTTCTCATGAACTAAAACTATGACTGACTGATGACTCTGGCTGCACAAACCCTGCATCTGGAGAGTTTTTTTGTTTCCAGCCAAACCAGAGCGTTGATCTTTTTGACTACATTTTTGCTGTGCATAGATGATTTAAACCGCAATACAATTATACTTCTTCATGAAACCGAAAGGGAAAACAGTTCACTGGGTTATGAATATACCTCCTCTACTAGTGTTTTCCATATGGCTTCTTCCATTATTTATTTGTAAACTTATTTTGTTGGTACTAAATGGGAAAATAGAGACAGCATTCAATAAACTGTCTTGTTTCTTATTCTAAGTTTTTCTTTTTTTGTTCTGTTGGAGATTTATCTTTTGACATGTTCACTTCATGGCATTGTTCAGCTTCGTGATGGGAAATTATCAGCAAAAGAGGCAAAATTATAAGACTTTCCTAAAAAGAAACCTGCCTTTCCACTCTGCATACTTTCTTTCCTTTGATTCCTTCAAGGAATTTATTAACAGAAAACAGATATATAGAATATATATCTTCATGCCATCAGTTCCTGGTGGACATCTAAAACATGCAGGTCATTTTGCCTTGAGGATCAGGCACTGGACTAAAGAACACAGCTGACTAGTCAGAAATAAAGATGTGAAAAAAGTTTAAATCAACATTAGAATGTGAAGGAGTGACATAAGATTTGGTTATTGCTGCTCATCAGCCAAAACTGGAAATAAAACTTTTCCAGACATATCCATCCTATACAGGCCAGGCTAGAAAAGCATTAATATGGACTACAGCCAAGATGCCTGTGGTAACTCTGATCCTTTTGGTATCCTCCTATTGAGGAATTGCAGTGCAATTACTCAATAAAAAATAGAAAATGGCAAAAATCAGAATTAGCTATCTCTACGTTTAAGCACTAGTCGACTTCATTCTAATGATGAATGCAAAAACAACTTTTTAAATGTCTCAGTATTTCCTGGGTATATTTCTCCATTCATATCTGATAAAGTGTAAAGCCAATTATATAGTACATAATATTATCAGATTATGGTCTGGTCTTGCCCAGTGATGATGTCATTGTCTGTTCGGACCCTCAGGAGTAAAGAGGAGCCCATATATGGAGGCCTTCGTCCTCGACGCCGCTATCTCAGATACAAGTACTGGCCTGATGATCTTTGCTGTTTGTCTTTCCTCTCTCTCACAGCACACTTTCCTGTTTCTACCCACTCTCAAATAAAGACTGCCAA